ACTTGCGTTTCATTCAGTCGTGCAGCTAATGTCGGGTTATGGTTTTGGTTTTGCTTTGCTGCATCTGCTTTGGCATAACAAATCAAGTTGCGGATTATAAATGGAATCCTTTTTTAATTGAAATATATATCCTGTGCCTCCTACCGCACGAGTATGCCTCATTAATGTGCCACTCAGAATCTCACTCTCTCTCTGTCTCTTAGTCGCTATCCTCGATTATCCTTTTCTCTTTGTCTCTGGCTATGGCAGGATTCGATTGATGCGTTTTTGATTGCAAATTTAACCACAAACACTACTCTACGACCAAATGCACGGGCTACGTATACGTAATATGAATGAGCTAAGGAATTGATTTGCTTTGGTTTTGGTATGGAGTGGGGGGGACTTATGGGGGACATTACTCATACGCAGCGTGTGCGATAGCAAAAAGCAACTTAAATTCTACTTACAGCCAAATATGTAATAAATACGAGCTTAAAAAAGTTTATCTATATTTCAACCGCACGCAGTCATGTCCTTACACAAACACATACACACTATATACTATACTAACATATATAAATGGTATTTTTGGGTAGATTGTATATAAGAAGTGGATGCTGTTTTTTTGCTGTCGCCCTGGCGAAAGTTTTTTGAAAGATGTCCCACCCACAGGACACCACATCGACGCACCACCCAACCCCACGCCCTCTCTCAAAGGATCCATCCAGACAAGCGGCGCACACGTCCAGCTAGCAAAAGTTTACTTTTTGCCGCTTTTTTGTGCGCTTTCTGGCCAAAAACGAGAAATAAGTAAGTGCCGGCGCAAGTCGAGTGCTGCGAACAGACTATCATTAGACGTATGACTATTCAGTTCCAGCTTTAAATCCCCCCCGGAGTGTGTTCTGGTGTGCTGGTGTGTGTGTGTCTGCACACTCACTATTTTTTGAAGAGCAGCAGCGTAAATTTTCCGCCTTTTTTTCTTGCATTTTCCATTTCAATTTTACAAGCAGCCACAGAGCCAGCCACGTCATGGCGGAGCAACCAAAAACCAAATCCTGACAAGCCTGACGCCGTATAAATTGTCGCAATCAAGCAGGCATACAAAAGCGGGAAGCCCTGAAACCCAACAGGGGGTGTGCGGGTGGTGGAGGTCCCTGGGTAAAGGCAAAAAGGAAAATCCAAGGAAAAAAAAAGTCAGGGCGGAGAATTGAGAAAACCGCCAGCAAGATGAATTACTGCAAATTATCCAGTTAGAACTTCGGGGACTTTGAAACAAAACCAAAGGCGTGGATAAACCGTTTGGGGAGATGGTCTGGGATGGGGACCGGGGGCTGATGATGAAAAATCCTAAGTAAGCAGAACGAGGATTGTCGACGATTTAACGAGTGGCCAGGCAGAGCTTTATCCAACTATTTGCACAAATACATATCTGGAAGTCCTTGTAAAAAGTGCAAAATTTGACAAAAATCAAGCATTCCATTAAGTGGCCAACAAACTCAATTGTTTAAGGCAACAAAGCTGATAAATTGATTATTCAATTATATTTTATTGTATAATTTATTCAATTACATTTTAATAAAAAGCACTAAGCATTAAGCTGTTGTGTTTTAATTAAATTTAAACACTCTCTTGGAAAAAGAATTTAAAGTATTTGTGAGTTTAAATTAGAAAACAACTTTCAGAAAAGCTCTGAGAGTCAGTTTCACTTTTCCTTTTTGTTTAGTTTTATTTTTTGTTTTATTTTTGTTTTATTTTTATTTTATATTCTGCTGGTCATTACCTAGTTTTCCTTTTGAGGGCGTCGAGTGGTGGGGAATCAAATAAAAATCACCCGCAGCACTCTTTGTCGGCCACATTCATTAATGTCAGCGGCAGTTGCCTCGTCTAGGACCCCACTGTAAGCACATAATGTGGCACAAAACGCATAAAATACACATACATATAAATACACCACTAATATATATATTTATATACATACAAATATACATACAGATGTCTGACATTGTAGTCTATAGTCTGTAGTCTGCCCGCTGTTTTATATAACGATTACGATAATGAAGCGTCGCCATTTCCACTGAGCGCAGCATTTTTGTACACAAAATGAGCCAAATGAATGGCCGGGCTTTTTCCAGGGGTGTGGGTGTTGAGAGGGGTTCCGCCATGGAAGGAGATATATTTGGAGGAAGGATGCCATCCAACTACCCAACCACCCACTCTGCCAGCCAGCCAGCCAGCATCAACGTCTGTCGTTGATGGCTTTTTGAAGTTCTTCGCGCTGGCAGGCGGCGCAATGATTGGGGATTATGACGAATTAATGAATTCAGATTTAAATAAAATTACGCGCGCCTGCTTGTTAGTGTCAGCACAGACATATATACACAAGTGCACTGATAAAAATTCAATAATTATAAATATAAAAATTGTAAAAAGATAATAGGGGTGTGAAAACCCCTAATACTTGCAGAAACTCTTACAGGCCTTAAAAGTGTACTTCCTTGGGATGTTTTATATATTTGGATAGATCTTATTATCCCCTTTTTTTCAAGTGTAATACCTCCTTCTCACCCCCCACGATTTGTGGTGTACATTTAACGTTTGCTAATAGAATTAAAGTTTGCGGTGGCCGCCCAATGAGGTATGGCAATGGGTGGCATAATGAGCCAACAACCGATCCAGGGCCAGTGTAATTATGACAGCTATATAGTCGAACAGTGGGCGGCGATTGGGGGGCGTGGCTATCGATGGGCGGACATTAACAACAGGCCCCAATTGGAACCCGGTCGAGTCAGTGGCCAGTGTTCGTTTTCGCCCTGTTTTGCCCGCTTAATTAACAACAACAATTGCAATTGTACGGCTCCCCCCCTGGCTCAGAAATCCTTCTCTTACTTCTCTTACTGCACCTACTCATATTATCCCACATCCTTATTCGTCCTTTTATCCTGGCAGCACCTGAGCCGGCAATTTTTGTGTCATTTGGCGCGTGTAACCTTCGCCGTTCGTTTGTATTGTGTTGTGGCATTGTTGTTGATTGTTAATTGAAAAACAATGTTGTAGTTGGTTGCATCGGCGGCTGCACTTGAAGAGCTGCGAATTGCGAGGCGCGAACAACAGCTACTGAAGGTACAGGACGAAAAAAATAAAGTTTAAGCCATAATTTATAGAAATTACAAACCTAAATAGATATGGACTAGTTATGAGCTAGTCCCTAGGACAAGGACTCCCTCTCCTTCAAAACTTTATTTAAATCTCAGATTATCCAGGATATTTAAATTTCTTTCTGTGTATCGAAGTAGCAGCATTTTCCTGTGGCTATGTGGGGTGGTGGGCGGAAAACTGCGGCGCAAGCTTAATTAATTTTTATAAGGCCGCCTTTGCTGCCCGGGTGGCCGCCCTGGCCTGGCTGCATTTTAATTACAGTGCACAGGAGTTGCGAGTTGCCTTAAGCGCATTGATTAAGTTTAATCAATGGCCCATAAGCAGGCAGTCAGGCAAGAGGATATTGGGCATTGAAAGGGGATTGGTGGGGATGTTTGGCGAACGAGCGGGGTCAGCTTCTCAGAGGGCTTGCAGCTCATTAAAGGCCACATCGCACAACTTTGACAAGAAATGTGCAATTAGCAGTCGAGCGAAGAAGCCGAGGAGATGACTCCTTGCCAAGGAGCGGGTTGTGGCAAAGTTGTCACATTATAATATTGAATGGCAGACAAGACAGCCAGGAAGCCAAGACAAAGCCAAAAGGATTGCAAAAAGAGTAAAAGGATGTCATGTGCCAGGACAAGATGCTTCTCACAGCCAGACTACACCATAATCCCGAAATCATTGATAACTTGATGAGCTATTAATATACATAAACATAAAACCATTAAACTTTAATGATTAAATTATTCAACTGCCATGTTCTTATTAAATATTTAGTCAAGGTTATTGAGGCATTAACTGATTTTTCTGCCCAATTTAACAACTAATTAAAGGTGCATACAATTGGCAGATACATTGCATTTTCAATTCAATTCCATAGAGCACCAAAGGACCAAAAATTCCTAATTGATGAAATGAAACTGTTCATTTTTGGCCAGTTTTGATATTAAATGTTAAAGTTGAAAGAATTCCAGTCTGATACAAAGCATTAGAAAGCCAAAGCATTTAATTAATGACATTGCAATGGCATAAAATGATTAAATTCCATGTTAATGATATATGCATTCAAAAATTCCACTTTTGCCAGATAGCCATGTAGCATGATTGTGTGTAATTCGTGTCTGGCCAATGCAATTGAGCCCCAATCTGATTGGGATGGCCAATTTAGCAGCACATTCACTGCATTTGCCACATCAATTAAAAATATCAAATGACAAGTCAGTCATTCAGTCAGTCAGTGGGTCAGTTCATCATTCCTGCATGTCCAGTTAGCGGCTCCAATAATGAGCCAACCAGTCGTCCACTCCACTCCACTCCACACCAGTCCTGGTGTTCAGTCTTGGCCAGCCCAGTCAGTGGAAAGTCAGTGGAAAGCAGTTAGTTAGTTAGTTAGTGCGCTGGTTTGACAGTCAACTATCATTATAAGTTCTTTTGCGCCATAATGGCTAAAAGTTTTCCGCCCTTTCTCGCTGGATAGTTGACTGGTTGCCTGGTTGGCTGGTTGGCTGGTCGACTAGTTGGGTAGCCGATGTAGCCATGGCTGAAATGTATGTGTATGTGTCTGGGCCATTGTGCGCACTCACTTTGCAATTAGCAGCAGTTTTGTCTGCTGCGAACATTTATTCAGGCCATTAATTGAGTTGCTCGCACCGAACGGACAAACTTCGAATGCTTATGCGCTGAAACTGAAACAAAGAACTGAAAGAAAGAACAAACGAAGGACTCCTCCAAAGTCCTGCCAATGGAGTTGAGAAATGATAAATTTCCAGTCTATTTTTAAGTAACAAATAGGGCTCTTTTCTAAAGAGTCAATGCCTCATAGTTTAAACTTTAAAGCCAACCATTTCTAATCGCCATTTTTTCCTTTCGATTAATTACAGATCGAGGATGCCATGTTGATGTTCGACAAGCAGACCAATCGGCACAGAGGTAAGCAATCGCTATCGTTATCGTTATCGGCATTGCGCTAGTAGAGCGCAATAATGCCACAAAACATTTGCTAGCCCGTTTCCGGTCTTTAACGAGCCCGAGCCGGAAGTGCGAGAGCTTAGCAATGCACACATACACATAACCGAACACACAATGGCAATGTATCATGCATGGCAGGATGCTTGGGCTCATAAGCAAAGGACTCCCGCCCATCGCCATCGCCATCGCCAGTGGGCTAATACAGTTTTAAAACGTTGTCGTGGCATTAAAATGGGTGGGCAGCACAGGATGTAGAGGGACCCGAAAAGATTACCTGCCAATGCAACCGGATATAAGGGCCATAAGAGATGGTCCATCCTCTTAACCGGGCTGGCAGCGGGTGGTTAGCGGATTGCCAGGGCGAGGCAACAAGAGGTGCGCTGGCCGGCAGAAGGCTTAAATCTCCAGTGTACATCCGCTACACGAACTTGTAGCGCACGACTGCGTCCACTGCGTTTGTCCAACTGTCCGCCCGGATAGCCTGTCCGTCCGTCCGGCTTTTCAACTGTCAGAATGTCCGGCTTTCGCAGCACTGCGAGAAAATTCGTCCGGAGATCAGGGAAGTTATTTTACAAAAGAAAAAAGGCCAGTAGAGGGAAAGAAGTCTTAATAGTAGGTAAGAAAAAACACTCTCACTTTTGGCAAGTATTTGAAAAAATAGGTTTCCCCTTAAAAGAGGACTATTCTGGAAAGAATCCTTAGAATTTTCACCATGTACCTGGGTCCTTTTTGTGCCCCAGTCCCACACTGCGCTGCCTTGTCGTTGTCAATTTTGCTTATTAAAGTTTTAAATGACGCCCCAAATTTCGCATTGCGTCCTGCTGGGGGGCCGTCACTCGCCCATTGACATGTCCGGCCCTCGCCGGAGTGCGGGTCCTGTTGGGCCAGCCATACGGACTACAACCTGAGACAGACCGCATTAAGATTGATGTGCCCGGCCAAAACCAACCACATACACACCTGCTGGATCTTGTGCTCTGTGCTCAAAAGTAATTAGTTCACAGGACTACAAACAGCAGCATACATCAATAGTTGTTGGTACACACTATCATCCAGCCACCGCAAGAGCAGGTCCACCCTTCCGTCCACCCGTCCCCTGGACCACATTGCCACCCCCCTGCCACCCGGTTCACACCACCGGACATTGTTAACTTTTGCGCCCTTCAAATTACGCACACGGGAATAAGAAAACATGATTTTTGCTTGTGCGCGGCCCATAAAAAATTGTAGCATACTTCTGTGCCCCGCATCGCAGATAAGCGCAACATGATGGTGGGCGGCAACGGGCGGGAAGAGTAAAAAAATAAAGAGGAGGTGGTGGTGGGGGGGGCACAGAGATAGAGCCGTGGGCCCACAGAACATTTCGCTTAATTGGACGCTGGAGTATGCTGGAACTGCATGATGATGCAGTCATACATACATAAAAAATAAAAGCGAAGGCTTGAAAATGGGTAGGCAGCAGGCATCAGGCAGAAGCCAATAAAAACAAATATGAGGCATTTTAAAAATAATGTGAAGGCCGTCAAGTCATCACATGAAAGATTTAGCCGCCCTGGGGCCAAACGAGCCATAATGAGCTGAGAAAAAATAATATTCTGCACAGCAATTGTTCGGATTTTTACATTTTCCAATAGACAGAAAGTTTAATAAGCTTTTCAATGTTTTTTGTGCAATTTATTATTTATTTTAATGGCAAGAATACTTTTTTCAAGTCATTCCATTAAAAATTTACAGTCAAGGCAGTAGAATAAGACAAAGACAAGTTTTCTACGAATTTCCGGCTTAGAATACTTGCCTTCTGATTTTCTGATCCGATTTTGCGATTTTCCAATTAAAAATGCATTGGAAGAGCGTTTAGCCACTGACACGACTCATTCACTGAGCAATTCATTTTGGCCAGGACATGTCAGCTTTGCAAATTACAATTGCGTGCATCGATCGCCGAATGAAATATGCAGACATTGTTGGTTATTGGCTGGCCTGAGAGTGGGGGATTGCGGACTACGGAGAAGGTAGTTGAAGGTGGCCCAAAGTGGGTAATAGCCAACTGCCCAACTTCACAGGCAGGCTGGCAAGGGGGCGGTCAATAGAAAATGTGTGTCGTTAATCAAAGGGTATTAGTTGTGTAGCAGAAGCCTTCATTGCCACGAGGACATGGAGGACACGATGGCCACGGCGACTTTTTGTACAGTCGGACGATGTACTAGGATGTACGATGTACGACCTTATTGCCATGAGAAGTCGAGTCCAACGTTGCCTACTGGCACTTGCGATATGCCTGTAATTGCATTTTATCGATCCGATCCGAGAGCGTTCTCTATATGTATATTTATATGTGTGTGTTATGTGTATGTGTGGCAATTGCCACGTACACATACACCAACTATAATAAAGAAGGGCCACCAGAAAAACAAAAAAAAAAAAAAAAGTGAAAGAAAAGTGGAAAAGACGTTGTTGGCTGCTCGGTTGCTACACGGCAGCAAGTTTGTTACTCATTCATAAATCATGTGTGCAGCACAGCGACACACATATACAGAGCCCGACAGACAAACAGTCAGACAGACAAACGGACAGACATAGCCAGAGTATAAGCCTGGTCACTGAAAATTGCAGCGCCATTTTCCCAGCTAACAAACAGCAGTGGCAGTTGGCCCAGAACAGGCTACGGGATATGGGCAAAAAATGGGGGGAGAGGGATGGAAGGAAAAACTATACAGGATACGATATATGAATATGCCATAAAACAATATAGGCAGCCAATAGCAACTACGACGACAACAATGCAGGTTATTGCAATTACAGTCAGAATGCCCTAAAAGGATTTTCAAATATTTAAGAGAATATCTCATACCTAAAGGTATTTTAAAGATTATTTGAATAAAATCCATAGATTAAAAGATTGTGGCAATTAGAAAACTTTAAATAATTTAAGGTTCTAAACCTAATGGACTATGAAATATAATATAAAGATATCAATTAAATATTTTATTGAAATTATTAAAAGCAAAAATTATTTCCCATATTTAAAAACCTTTAAAAGCTAGTTTAAAGCCATTCCCGTTTAGGCAATCTCGCCTGCACAAATATAGAGTTGAGAGCAGCCTCGGCAGCGCCCAAAACTATGCTATGAATTTCATTTGGCAAGCCAAGGACATGCCCAACGTGCGCCTAAGCAGCCAGCCCTAGTTGTAGGTGGAGTTCGGTGCAGGGCATGGGTTTGGGTTGGGGCTTGGCTTGGCAGTTGGCGTCGCCAGCCGCCACTAATATTAAAATTGAAAATTTTGTAATTTTTCTTTTTGGCAAGCCGGCGCAGCGCAGTCATAACAGCAGCTGGCTCTAGGCTGGCTCTATCGCGCCGTGCCACGGTGCTCCATGCCACTCTTACTCCTACCTCCGTGCCACCCATACCCTGCCGACAAAAAAAAAAACATATATCTGTGTCCGCTTCTTGGCAATAACATGCATGAGTGTGCAATTTTTGCAGTTGCCAAGACCATCGTCAGCTCCTATCGCTCCAGCAACCGTCCTGCGGGAAATTTTCGACAGGTAAAAATGGCAACCGGACTCAAAAATTGCGGCTCTTCAGGCTTGCCGGCTCTCCTGTTCGCTAGCTTTTGGAATCAGGCAGCGAATTAACTGGGCAACCAGTATGTAGTCATTCCTCATGCTGCCCGGGCGCATTTGTATCCACCAGATACATTTTTGATTGAGTTACATGTGGAGGTGCAAGGTGCATGTGAGCATGTGAGTCGGGCAGGACGGGTGCTTAGGGGAAATTGCCGGCTTCATTTGTTCCACGGCTGATTTATGAGTGGCCCCAAAAGTGGCAAAGACTACTACTAACAGATATTGCAACGTGCTACAACGAAATGAAAAAACTGAAACCCAAACTGCTACTACTTAGTCCTAGTAGCCAGTTGGCTTTACGTGCTACTTGCAACGTGCGCTAATTTTATATAATTAAAGCAAATACAAATACAAACACAAACACACTCCGGTAAGTGTGGGAGGTCTCAAGGAAAAGGACTTTGCACGGAGCTTCTGCTTCTCCACGGCACATGTCGCTAATAAGCCTGCGTGTTTACTGTTACTTGTTTCAACTAATTTGTCAGTTACGCCCAGCTTGGCCACGCCCCTTTCGCCCGCATGGCACACACAGATGCGGGTGTACGGGTCGGTGGGTGTATGGGTGTTGTTTGGGGCATCAGGTGTCTGCACTTGGCCTTGCTAATTGCACAGAGCAAGAGCCAGAGAGGGGTGAGTGGAGTGGTACATAGCCCTTCTTTTCGGCCAAGTGAAATCTCAGACAATTGCGCTAATTGAAAAGCCCCGATAAGGCCAAAGTGGCGAAAATTGGAACGGGCTGGGAAAGGGAATTTTAGAAATCCAATCGGATGAAAAGTTTTTGGCCAAAAGGAGTAACTTGGATTGTTTGTGGAATAAGAAATTAATGTAATTAAGTTGAGATAAGACTCCAGACTCATTCAATAAAACATCAAAAATTTAACAACTATTTTACAAGAAATTCCAACTTAAATCAAGCCTCCTCTCCACCTATCCAGGAACTTTAAAGGAAAGCCTTTCACAAAAAAGGATACTTGAAGTTTCTTTTGACCAAAAACTGCAATGCCAGCAAATGGAAGAAATTTAATTAAGCCATAATAAATCCTGGACCAATTCCGGGCCGTAAAAACCCCGAATGACTTGACATTCCTGGAATTTAAGTTCCTCGTCGGCTACCAAAATTGAAGATATCAAAAATAGCTGCACTGAGAGCGAGCTGGCCAGCCATTAGGACAAAGTTATTATGGCCGATCCCAAGGCGGCCAAAACGGGTGGGCCAGGGGCAGGGTACTAGGCCAGTTGAGGACGAAAGCTTGGGATCTGAGCTGTGTCCGCTGGCCAAAGTTTATTATGTAAACTCGGAGCGGCCAGTGTTTGAATTACTCGCCCAGCCGCCACTTGAGGCCCTGCAGGGATGCATATTGAGGTCAGCCGGAGGACAGCTATCCTGGTAGATCGAATCGTTTGGTAGTTGGTAGCGGAGGTCTGGGCTTCTGGAGGTTAAGAGCTGCCTCTGTCTCGGTCCCGACACTTGAGTAAATTATTTAGCCGCTCCGCTCACACAAAAGCATATTTCGTTCAATTTTTGCAGCCCTTAAACTTTTTTGGCCCACTCCTTTGACTCCCAGACCCCCCACCGACTCACTCACTTCTCATTCTTTATTTCACTGGGCCCTTCTCTAACTAATTCTTCACCGCCCACTCTTTCTTCTTTTGCAGGTTTTGGCTTCGTTACATTTCAAAGCGAAGATGTGGTAGACAAAGTTTGCGAAATTCATTTCCACGAGATAAACAACAAAATGGTAAGTGAAGCGTGGCGGTCTGAATCGCAGTTCTTTTTCCAATTATTTTTGTTTTGGCCATATAGAGAGAGTGTACGTTGTATACTTACATGTAGTCCCAAATGGCTCTTTAAACTTTAATATTATATATTTCTAAATTATAATTTTTAATATATTATATCTCATTTCAGGTCGAATGCAAGAAGGCGCAGCCCAAGGAAGTGATGCTGCCAGCCAACTTGGCCAAGACACGGGCCGCCGGGCGTTCTGCATACGGTGAGTTGGTAGTCTGGGGCAGCCACGCCCATTCGACGGCGGCCACTACGGCCGCTGCCGGCCTGTTGCCGAGTAGTTTAGCCGCTGCCGCCTCCGTGCTGCAGCAGCACCAGCAGCAGCAGCAGCAACAGCATCAACAGCAGATGCAACAACAGCAGCAGCAACATCAGCACCACCACCACCAGCAGCTACACTCACACACACCACAGTCGGCCACCCACCACACACCCCACTCCCATGCCACCCACAACCACTTGCTCAGCTCGTTGCGCTACTCCCCCTACCCCCTGCCTGCTCATCTTCAGGCTGCAGCCGTTGTGGCCGCCCAGCAACAGCAACAGCAGCAACAACAGCAAGTGCAGCAGCAACAACAGCAGCCCAGTTTGGCCCAAGTTGTGGCCGCGGCTGCTGGCGCTGCCCCTGGCCTCCTGCCGCTCACCACTCCCACCCCTGCTGCCACGCCCTCCTTGCTGCAATACGCCGCGGCAGCCAACGCCCTTCCAGGTCAAAGCAATACCGCTCTGGCGAACTCTCTGTATGCCGATGCCGCGGCAGTGGTTGGCTACAAACGCCTTCTGGCCGCCGCCGCAGTGAGCAGCGGCCTGAGAACGCCGGCCACCGCTCTGGGCGCCTTAACGGCAGCTGCTGCCAATGCCCCAGCAGCCGCGGCAGCTGCAGCTGTGGCGCAGCAAGCTCAGTTGCGACAAAATGCCGCACTTGCAGCAGCCCATTATCCGCTAAGCGAGCTCCTGGCCATGCCCGGGGGTCTCGAGATCGGGGCGGGAGCCAATACGGCGGCAGCAGCAGCGGCCTCACTGTATCAGTTGCCTGGAATCTGACCACCCAGGCCACAGTGAGCCCTCCCTCAAGCAACCTAATAAAGCTTATGAGATTTTAGCTTTTTTAAGCATTTTAAGAGGACTATGCCTGAATAAAAAAAATATATTTATTTCAAAGAACTTTAAGTGTGTATAACATGCATTAAATCTTAAATATTAATCTCTCTTAATTGGACTTACAATATTAATTTAATAATCGGAAAAAAAAACTTAAAACTTGGCATAGTCCTTATAATATTTTTTATATTTCACTATCATATGATAGTTCCTTAAAAATCCTTTTCCTAAAAAAACACTTTCCCCAAAATACACTTTGAACAACAACACTAACCACTAACACCTAAATATATATATAAATTCCTATATATATATTTATAAATGACTCTCTCTCATTCCGTCTCAATGTCCAAATAATATTTATGCTAAGCGGCTAAAGAATAGGCTTAGGATTACTTGTAACTTCTAATTAGCCATGTACTTACTAATTACTTATGCCATATGTACTATATATTATATATCGTATACCTATATTTTGTGTCTGTCTAAGCTGCGTTTAGGCCACGCGGCGTATGCGTTATATGACTAAATTACTTAAATAGCAGCGCATTCGTTTTCTTACCAAAATGGAGATAAGGAAACGCGAATTATTTAAGAACCTAGGCTAAGTGCAGGTCCTAGAGATCTGCTTAGAGACTATTCGATGCCCTTAGATCTTAGAAGGCGATCGTAAAAGTTGTCTTAGACACGGGGCGACTTATCCTAGAACTTAAGAGCCCCCATATGAATGCAAGAACCATACAAAAACAAATACATAACAATGTCTTCTCGGATCTTCTCTTGTATATCAAACATTTCTAATTATACGTAAAAGCTCATATCAATATCAATAGATGTTAAAAATTGTACGAGTACTTAACTAGAAGCGCAGCCAAAAGCCACTAACTTAATCGAATTGAATTCAAAAGCCTAGCAATTGTATCGAATTAGCGATTAAGTGGGGATTGACAAAAGTACGCCCCCAAAAGAAAGTATTTAAGTATACACAGTGTATGTGTGTGTTTGGTTGTGCGTGCTAGGTGTGTCAGTATGTGTGAGTTTAATTTGAAAAATTGATGATGACCAGTGGACTGAAGTTCTACAGATGCCATTGCAAATGGCTGGACAGCTGTCGGAGTGTAATTTTCCAAAATGGATCATGGATAATGGATGTGCTCACATGCATTCGGACCAATTACAAGGTCCCTGGCAAATTACGGCTCAGACAGCTGATGACCCGTAATCGTAAACGGAGGCAACTCCCCCAGAAACCCGTTATCTTACCACACACTTAGACACACACTTGTGCAATCGTACATACACATACACTTGTTTGCCCATAGCCATTAATATTTGACTAAACTTGAAACTAGATATTTATTATACATACGTACATGCATAAACAACCACATACACGCATCTATTGCATTACGATAAGCGCATTAAGCGCTCAAATTCAAACTCCAAACTCTAATTCAAATTCAAATTGGAATCAAACTCTAGTTAATTCTAGAAATCCATTGTAATATTAGCCTAAGTCGCAGCAATCAAAGATGAAGCAGCAAGAATTATGCAGCCAGTCGTCCCAAAGCCCAATCACGATGATGCCAAAGATGAAAGATGGAGAAGTGACATAGAAGGCGGAGCGGAACTCATCCGAAGCCGAATCAAAATTCTTAGATACTTATTTTTTAACTAACATATATCCTCCCATAGCTGTTAACCTTTACCTGACTATATATTACATGAACCTCTTGATTTGTAGTGTTTAAATAGCCCTTTTTATAGTTTTTTGTCAACAGTGTGTGTTTAGTTTCCGATTTCGATTTTCTACTTTAATGTTTAGTTATTATCATAAATTAGTGGCGGTGCGGGCAATGGCCTGAAGACATGTGGCATTTTTGTAGAAATGCTCAACAACAGGCCCTAGAATTGCCCCCACTCGAAAGACTTAATATATAACTTGAAAAACAAACAAATATTTAGCGAAATTACTCAATTTTATACTCATAGAATAGAAACTAAATGTCTTAGCTTATATCTACGTAACCATAAGTGTTTAGAATTGTCGATCAAATGTAACTCAACATATATATAACTCTATATAGCTCAGATCAAGGCTGTTAATTCAGAAACAAACAACAAAGAGGGGGGACTTTCTTCTTCCCTCAGATAGTTGTGCACCGTAACAAAAATCGGGTGCTTAGAACTCAATACTACAAACATATATATTTAATTAGTATATAGTGGAACTATCGATCTGAAATCGACAGTTCCTTAGTTGTCACACTTTAGAACTCTAAGTACACTCGAGTCGATAAACAAAACAACTGATTTTAGTAAACCAGTCTATCATACTTACACTCTATTATCAATTAGTTGCGATATAATCTCGATAATGATTTTCATTTCATATTCATTATTCATTAGCTATGATAAAATGGTGTGAATGTCAGTAATTATCTGTTTATGCCTTTCTTTTCTGTGCTCTCTCTTGTTTTCCATGCGACTGTCCATACAGATAACATCATGTGGGGTCTGGGGACATTGCCAGAAGGTAAGCACTCCATCTTTAATTAGAAAAATTAAAAACCAAAATTAAATAATACTTTTTCTTGTATTTTGTGCAGGTTTTCCGGCAGCTGCCTATGCTGCTTATGCCGCTGGTCGTGGCTACTCGGGCTATCCCAGCTTCGGTCTGCCCTATCCAACTGGTAAGTCCGACGCACACCCACACAATCACACCCACAGGACACACCCAAATCCTCCAACACACACACACATAGGCACACTCCTTTTCATTATTTTTATGTGAGTGAGAGTGAAGAAAGCATCCTCTGTGACTAAAAACATACATTAATCCCCGAAACTGACTAGTTTGTGCCACTTGATATGACGAAAGGCCTCGTAACACCCATCAGCATTACTAACTGAATGTTGTGTGTATTTCTTTCATCACCAATCTCGAAACAAACATTTGTGTATCTTTCTTTTCGGCTTTCAAACTCTTTATTCTTTTTGTCTGTATATTTTTGCTTTGCAGCGGGTGTGATGGGCGTTGTGCCGGAGAATCGGATCCTGATCGGCGACTATATGGCCTAGGACCTATGGCCTATTGAACTCGAGCTCGAGCGCCCTAACTAAATATAGTTCTATCGCGTATTACATCAAGCTCATTTATTAAATAAATCACAAAAGAAAATTCCTAAAAAAATGCGTTCGTCATATCAATGCACAAAATAGTTAAAGATCGGAAATGAATCGAAACACGCAGAAGCATCGACATTTGAAATCTAGAACCCCTAGAATTGAATCCTGCGCATCCTGCAGATTAAATCATTAAAGCTGCTTGGCCTTGAGTTTATCATTCGCCTACAACCCAATCCCCACCCATCACCACATACTGAATACAAAGATATATTCCACACTGGCTACTAGGGCTTTTAGATAATATGAGATTTAATTCCTGGAACCCAGAAAGAATACCTATTAAGAGAGCTATAGCTTTAAAATAGTTGGGCAAAAAATCGATGTTTTTAACTAAATTTTGTTAAATTGAAACTAAAATTGCTTAAGTAACAATATTTTTCGGGCTATAGCTTTCACACTTTACCTTATTGTTTGCCCTTTGACCCATCTCTCTTTCTCTCTCAGCCTCTGACATTTCTGTCTCGCTTCATCTATCTTGTATCTCGTATGATTTTGTAGGCTTGACTATTTGCGGCATCGGTAGAAGTTATGGTACTGCTTGTAGCACGGCCCCGGGCCGCAGCAGAGCAGCCACTGCTGGCGGCGGGGCGTCTGCTGCGGCGGCGGCCGCCAGTGTTGCCCCCACCGGGCACGCTCCTGGCCAGGCACCCGGCCACGCCCCTGGCCATGCGCACGCCCACGGCCAGTCGGCCTACCACCAACCGGCGCTGACCCTGCCGCTGGCCACGGCGCTAACGGCTCGAACCGCGGCCATCAAATCGCAGTTTCTGGGCAACATTAATTTCTAAAACACTAACGGGAAAACTATATATCGCACAAGTCTGAGATTGAGATTGAGAATGAGTATGAGAATGATTGCCGTTTTCATTGCCGCCTTTTTTCCAACCAAAGTGTCAAGTAAATCAACTCTGACAAGTAGGTAAACATGCAAGTAAAGCAATTGCAACAAATCCAACAATCCAGCTGCAACAAATGCAACCCAGAGCGTTTAGATTAGCTTGTGTCTACGGTAAATGGTAACGACTACAACTGTAAAATCAACATGCCACTTGCCACATGCCACAGAAAGAAATACTAACGAGATATTTCTCAGAAACTACATAGAAAATGTAACTTCAACACACCAAAAACACACAAACACAGAAGTAGATCTATATAGCTGAGACATCTACAGACCTACATACAATGAACCCCCATATAATGTTGGAGCAGTTAACCAATTACCGCAGCTCTATTAGCCGGAATCCCCCAAGTAGTCACTAGAGTTGTTCCAAAAGTATACTTACCAATCCTATAATTACTTATATAGAGCAGCTAGCACCCGTAATAATCAGTCGTAATCGGATGTAATCGAATAATTAGATTCGTTTAGATGTAGGCCAGCATAATCACACAAAAACTGACAAGCTTTTACTCATATACATACAAACAATTATGCTAAATTAGTTACTCTATATAAACAAATATATATCGGCCTCTAGAGGAACCCACTTAGAAATATGACACAATACTCGTATTCGGCAAAATGTAACGAAAATATATAGAATACCATACTCGATATCCATATATATCCTTATCTTACATTTTTTCCGCCAACCAACCATCCCATCCAACATCCATCCCCCAGGAATCCCCATTCAGGGACACTCATCTATTATTTATAAAACTATTTTACCGTAACATTTAAATGCAAATTTTATTTGTAGTCCTTGTATGCATAAATTAGTTGCTACCCACTACCCACTCTATCCACAACAACAAAAACAGAGACTCCAA